GATTAGTTTCCAAGTTTCAATTATGGTTTTTGTTCTTATTCATTATGCTTATAAGTTAATATGCTAGTTTGAATGATTGATCACCATTTAGGCTTGCATGTTAGCTATCTTGGTTTGAATTAAGAGTATACACCATGCTTTAATTCGAATTGAACTATGAATATGAAGAGTATGTATGGACATTCGACAACAGGGATTAGATACATACTTGGTTGTTTAAAATGTTCTTCTATGCTTAATGGATTCATAATGCTTAGTTTAGGTTAGACAATAGATGATCAAATTAGGGAATTAGGAATACAAGGTTAGGACCAGACACCATGGCATAATCATACTTTAGCTAGAATCAATCCGTTAATCTAATTGAACTTGGGAACTTATTTGCTTGAGTTATTTTCTTTTCTTTCTTTCTTGTTTTATTTATTTATTTTCTTGTTTTTTCTGTTTTTGTATAGGAAAACTGAATTGGATTATTCAATCACCAATCCCTGTGGAATCGACCTCGAACTTACATATGCTATACTACCGAACGGCTCGTGCACTTGCGAGTATCAAAAGTTGAGGATGCAGCTGAATCCAATGTGAGTATTACTAGGATAGAACTAGATGACGACGATACTTAACTTGTTGCATGGCTTCTTGCAGAATGATGCACCCATGTGGGGAGTTGTAAAGCTTGTTTCACAACTCTGTCCAAGTGATGGTCATTGAGTTGTAAATCTCTTACTATTAAATACTTGGAAGATCATTCACCAAAAATAAATCCTTCAAAGCTCCTCTCTGCTTTCTATTTGGTGAAGTGTTCCTTTCATCGGCAAAAGGTTTTCCAACATGACGTGGCTTTTCCTCTTTTCCTAGCAATAGAAGAAATATGTTTAATTGTTGGTCAATTTTAGACAACAAGAAGCATATTTCTAATATCTTCAATCTCTTGATGTTCTAATCTCTGCATTGGGAGCTAACATCCGTTTATCTGCACTACTTTTGAGCTGAAACATTTGTCCACAAAATGCATGCCTCTGGAGCTGAAAGAAAATGGATATACCAAAGAATTTGGATGTTAAATTTTCATCACACATGTTGAATTGATTGTTTGTAGTGTTATAGTTTGAAATATGAAGGACTAAGAATAGCAAGGGAAACAGTACTTATGCTTTGGCATAGTGCTACCTTTTTTCTTACTAGGTACTTGAAATGCTTCTAGTGCATAAGCTTTTTGGTTGAAGTGTTGCTCTGGAAGCATACAACTTATTTTGGCCCCCTTGATTTGAGTTCTTTTGTCTTTTAGTGAAATAATTTCAGAATGATATATTTATTTATTTGTAATAGCAGTTGGTGAAATTGACATTTGAAAGATAATATGCTCACTGGTGACTTCTGAAATGGGATCATTATACTTATAAAATTTACAAAGTCAACATTTTTTAGGACAAAGTCAACATTTTTTAGGACAAAGTCAACTGGGTATCTTATTATTTTTTCACCATAGATTCTTTCACTATATTTCCAGTTTCAAAGTGCTAAATATTTGGTTGTTGATCAGAACTAAGCAATCATGAGCTAACTCCTCCCAAATATTAATATAATTGAATTAATGTTTGTATTTTTGGAAGGAAAAAAAAAATGGTTTGTAGTTAATTTAGGCTTAAAGTCACTTTTTGTACATATAAGGCACATCACTCCTTCTCTGTTGGTCGATGTGAGATCTTACATGTTTAGTGCGATCGTGTTGAAATGGATTGTGTGCAATGGATATTGCGGCCTTGTTGTAACAATGCAAGTGCATTTTTGACGTAGGTGCATATCAAATTTTTGTAAGCAATTTCTTTAATTACAAGTAGGTAGATTGCTAACCAAGAAGCAAGCTTGCTAACCAAGCTCAATATTAATTACAATTAGGTAGATTACAGTTGGTCTTGAGCTCCTAATCCTTGAGCCCCTAATCCTGGAGACTGTAGTAGCCTCCCAAAGTCAAGCCAACCACATTAATGTAGCCAACCTCATTAATGCAGCCAACCTACAACTAGTCTAGCTAACACTTTCTTCTTTTGCTATACTGTAACAGGCCTTTAATTATTCTTTTGTTATCGGACATGTTTTTTTTACCGCAAGTGTAAGACCCCTGTTTTGGGTATAATGCAATCAAATTTGATGAAAAAAAAATAAGCACTCAAATGTTCATTGTGAAATAGCAACCAGATTTAACAATCATAATAGAAAGATACTAAATTCTTGGTTGTTTTTATTTATTTATTAATTTTATAGAAAAATACTTCATTAGAAAAGCCCCAGAAAGGCCAAAGGAGGAAACAAGACAGAGATAAACAATCCTGCATAAATACAAAACAGAACCACCAGGCGATAGCAACTAAAGCCAAAGCCAAAGAAAACCGTAAGTAAAAGTACATAACACCAGCAAAGCCCTCCAACCATAGAAACAAGAGCGGCCACTATCTCCTTCAATTGCTATAGTTGCTATAGCCTGGGGTTTTGGTCTAACAAAATTGCCCCACCACATGGCTGCTCTATTAAAGAAGTGCCAAACTATCGCCGCCAAACTATAGGACCAAAAGACTTTTGGTCTTTAATTTAAATCCCAAATGGCTATGTATATAGAACCATGAGCACACATCTAAGCATCCACACAAGAAATGCAGTTCTTTACCAAACAAAACTTGAGCACAAATTTGTCAATGGATTCTTCCGTATCCGAGATGCTTCAATTGCCATCCTTTTTTGTCTTCTTAGCTTCTCTTTTCTTCTTATTGATGCTTTTCAAATATTGGAAGAAATCTCAAGCCAAAGGCCTGAGCAAGTTGCCTCCTGGGCCAAAGCAGCTGCCTATTATAGGGAACTTGCACCAGTTGATTGGTGCCCTACCACATCATGCTATCACTGACTTGTGCAACAAACATGGTCCTGTCATGAAACTGCAACTGGGGGAAATTTTTGCCGTGATCATTTCATCACCGGAAGCAGCCAAAGAGGTCTTAATGACGAGCGAGATCAGCTTCGCGCAAAGGCCGAAAGACTATGTAGTTGAAATGATGTCATATGCTCATTCAAGCTTCGTGCTTGCTCCTTACAATGAGTACTGGAGACAACTGCGAAAGATATCCATGATGGAGCTCTTAAGCGCTAAACGTGTCCGATCGTTCAGATCAATAAGGGAAGAGGAGGTGTGGAATCTTGTTGAGTTCATCGCCGCCTCTGAGGGACATACCATAAATTTGAGTGACAAGATATACACCATG